AGGTTAGCTGTGGATAAGTTGTGGCATGCGGCAAAAAATAAGCAGTCACTAACAAACAGCGACGGCACTACCAGGGTGTGTTGGGTTTCAGGCTGGCTACTGTTTAAAAACCACATAAACCCAACGACGGTGTCCCGTCAAAGGTCGGTGTGATTAGTCTTTCAAAATTAAAGTCATTGATCCCCTCACTTCCGAGGCGAGGGATTACTTCCTGCTGCCTTGCAGTTCTCAGCTGGCTGTGCAAAGGTTAGAGGTGCCCCCTCAAAATACATAAAAACGCCGAGTGACGCTTTGGACGTGTCTCGTACCAAACTCCCAAGTAACCTCATCATCGTATCTGGAGCCGGCTTATCTTTTCCAAGGAGCCAGCCGCAGTAAACAAAGAAGAAGAAGGAGGAGGTGTTGCAAGTTACGTTAACAACGACCGGAGCAAATCAACTGCCGTTATCTACGAATAATCAACGGATCAATCAGTTGCTGCGTCGTTCAATGTAAGCCTTATCTTTAGTGGGCTTTGTTCCATACTTCTTGAAAACATTTACCTGGCACCTATAACATCAACTTATGATATCAAAAAGTTTCCTGATGTTTTTTCCACCTCCACCGTAGCACGAATAAGCCACGAAATATTATATTGTGTCGCCACACAGGTTCTAGAAAATTTGAGACATTCTCGTGCCAGATTTGATGCACAACTAGATCTTTTTTTTTACAAGCAAACAATTTTTCCAAGTCCAGAAAAGTGCTGCTCTTAATAACTCTGATCATTGTACTTTAAAAGTGTGTACACGCTTTAGGGAGACCATACAAGATAGTGGGTCAAAAAACATTTTCATCGGAGATCCTAGAAAAGCTAAGGTCGTTGATTGCCGCCACAGGTGTTACGGTGTTTCCAGATCAGAACCCTTCTAGCTTCTGTGAACATGTTACTGATCACCTTAACTTTTGCTTCAACCAGTGCATCTTACTTCATTCTTAAGATAGATCAGTTTTCAGTTTGTACAACCATTAAGCAAACACTATCGTGCACCAGTTTTGGTTGCTATCTTTTGGCCGCCCATTTGGATGAAAAGTATAAAAAAGACAGAAAAGTTGAAAATAGAGCCGAACAGAAAATGGAGAATTTCACTGGTCTAGGGTTGCAAAGAAATTAAGAAAATTCACGAACGCCGCTGTTTACGACACAGCCATATCACTCAGTGTCTCTAACCATCGGTTACGACCATCCAGAGAGCCTAACGAGACCTATGTGAGCCAGTACCATGGTTAGAGATTTCATACCTTCGTGCCAGGTCTTATTTTGACCACCCTTGGCTTTTTTCCACCCACTACCTGCCTCGGCGAATATCGCGCGCCGTGGCAACCTATTTGGTGACATGCATAATACATGCCCAACCAATGTAATCTATGGGGGTTGACCACTTGCCCCAGTGGACGACTGCGGTTGCCTAAAGCTTTGCGCCTGACCTCAGCATTGCTCGCCGTTCATCACCGTTACTAAAACAGCTGCGAAGGCGGAAAGAACATGCCTATAAGTACTGTCGGTGTTGAAGGACTGATTTCCGGGTTTGGCCCAGCTACGGAAACAAACATGAATAAAGGATCTGGTCTTGATGAAGTATCACCCCGTGTTACTCAAGGTATGTGCGGCACTCTTTCAGTCGCACTGTCCAACATATTTACTGGCTGTCGGATAAACGGAAAAAATCCTGACATTTGGGGACCGGCCAAGATAACTCGTTTCCTAACAGGAACCTATGAAGTATCGTCTCGTCGCCTGCACGTCATTCATGCTCAAATCATTTGAGACTAACTTACAACCGTGGATTGTCACCGAGTCTGCCTAAGATGAAATCGATCAATTTGCATATCGCCCTCCGAGCTCAACGCTTGATGCCGTTGCTCAGCTTGTTAAATGAATACTTGCTGCCCTAGACAGAAA